GATAGTTGGCAGTCTCCCAGAACACATTTCTTCATGCGGTGGTTTAATATTAGTCCTACATCTCGCTCTCGTTTTTCTCTTCGCCTGTATGTATCATCCTCTGTAGATCGTCTCCATTGTCTTCTTACCTTGGTCCACATACGGCTGAAACATTTAACCTGTTTTATTTCCTGATTTATATATTATAACTGGTTAAATTTATTTAGAATTCTGATATTCCACGTCCCGAGAATGTTCTTTTTTTGTTTCATTTCCCCCAGGAGGAATTAAAAGAAACCTGATTGTAAACAGAACATTTGGCGACCACCTTGATGGAATATCCTAACGACTTTAGCATCTCGACTACAGTCACTTTCTCACCGACGCGACGCGACTTCTCTCTGTATTTTTCACAAATATTTTCTGACGGACATTATTTCCCAGGAATCCAAACAACATGTAATTTAAGTTTGCTACTAGTGGATTGGCATTTAGGTCCCACACTTTTACTGTACAAATGGTTAAATTTAACCGCTACTTTTACTCCAACAGTTTATATTCTGTTGTGGTGTGCTCCCTTTAATGTGGCTATTGTTGACTCTTCCATTTACTCAAATAATTCAAAGATGGAACGAATATATTGTAGAATGAACGAAGACAACTGGCAATACATAGAATTATCGAAGGACCAGAAGTATTAAAAACTAGTTGCAAACAAATGTGAATACTATCGGACGATCAACCATATAATGTAAACGGCGCAGCCACTGGAAGTTAGTAGGAAAAGTTAGCCCATCCGTGAGGCGGGGGGCAACAGTGATAGGCAGAACGCTGGTCAATCGACACACTTGTGTTGTATTTACTGTTCAATACACTATTTGTCTGCAACCTATTGTTTTGTTATTCCTTAACCAAATACTTGGTCACAACATTTTCTCACATTTTCCGCCTGTGGAATTCCCTTCCGTTTACTGGCTTCCCTATAACTGCAATATTCAAAAATTTAAATGCAGCGTCAATCGCCATCTTCTATTGACTTGAATCCCATTCATATTTTAACATTTCCTCAATCCTCCCGGTATTTTGTCTCGCTTTTCATCTCCGCACACCTCCCCCGCGTACTAGTGGCATTCCCGCCTTACTTGGGACGAAATGATTAAAAAAAAACAATGTATATTTAAAACAGGACTGTTAGTCCTGTTGATGCACCAACATTTGTAAAATTCCACTTCAAAAATTCACGCATTTTACGTCTTTTATTATGAATATGTATATTAAATTATTTGAAAGTTTATGACCTTATTATGGAACAATTGTATCTTTCGTTATATTGTAAAACAATGTATTTTAAAAATATGATATTGCTTTTCGTTTCACATAAACATATAAAAACTCTCGTAGGTATTAAGAAAGACTTCAAAAGAGGGAAATATTGGAATGTTGTTGTGTGATGTGAAAACAAGTTTGGAAACTGCCCCCAACAAAAATGATCAGAACCTGTTGAACAATAAAGAAAAACATTACAAATATTGTGTGAAAAATAAAAGTAATATAAACCTTGTTTTAAGAATGCTGCAAAAAGTGATTTGACAGTAATTACAATTGACCAATAAGAATATATTCGAATAATATATTGTTTAAATGTGTAGAGACAAAAAAAGAAGCAGAACTTTAATAACATATGAAAAATATGAAAGCAACTAATCTACCACATTATTTATCATTTCCCTCCAAGCAAGGCGATAGACGCAAGATATTACTGAGGATAAAAGAAGCCGAAGGTCAATCATAAAAAATAGGATACAAACAGCAAGATGACGATTGACCTTGCAATTAATTTTTTGAAGATCGTATTTGACAAGAAAGAAAGTTCTTCAGTTGAAACATCCGGGTGAAAAAACATTTAGCATTGGACATACGGTTAAATCTACCAGTTTCATTAGTAAGAATATGAGATCTAATTGCCAATATAGTACTGCGCTGAAATCCGTGACATTCATTAAATATCACAAAGAGCATCTTAAACATTCAGCCCAGAAATGAAAATAAAAACCCTGATTTCTGAATATATCCCTTAAATGATGATTGTACAGCGACATAAGATTGTGTGCGTATCTTGGATAATAGGGTCCTTAATGAATTTAATCAAGCAAAACAACGTAGAAACTGAATAATGATTTCTTCTCGTCTTTTAGGCAGTAAAGTCCTTTCATAGATGATGATGGTATAAAGTTAAATGCAAAAGGTATTTATTTTCTTGAAGAAGACTGTTTTGAGTGGAACCAATCTCTCCCAAGAAATTGAACGTCATATAAGACAATGAAAACCTACAAAGCTTATTATTACGCAGCGTGCCAAAAAATGTTTTAAGGAAGGACATTTCAGGATATTCCTCTTAATTGCAGGTGATCGTCTAATAGAAAACTGGAAATCCATCATTAAAATGTGTTGTTGAAGAGAGCATATTTCCATATAAATTAATAATATATTCTTATATAGTGATTTGATAAGCGCTGCATAGAAGGTGGAACAAGACCGAAAATAGGGGGTACCAAATGAGGGCCGAGTTCACTATACGTAATTGATCTAACCTGACAAGGTGGCTAATCGTTACACCACGTAGAAGTGGCCATTTATTATATACATGTATATGCGCGTGCCGATGTTAGCAGTGTGGGAATGTTTTCTTCTAACTAAAGTTTAGCGGTTACTTGGTTGCTCTTGTGTTTATTATTCTTGAAATCTATTTATTAGTTTAGTCTGGTTTTAACAGATATAGACGAAATACATGGGTAGGCAGGCTCTCTGAATAAAATAGGCTGCATTTAATTTTAATCGTTGGTACAATAAAGTTTTGAAAACTCAATGTGTCCCATGTTTATCTCGTCACTCGTAACCCAGTTTCAAAGCAAAATATGAAATTAAGATTTAACATATTAGACATATTCATGGGTCAAACGAAACAGATACTGAAATCTTCTGATGGAATATAATTTTGTACAGTTACATTTTGGAGCAGTAGACAGTTCAAATCTGAACTAATTCGATTCCTCGTCACTGGCTACAGGCCGTGCTTCGAGGAATAGATATATTTAAGGAAATATAATCTTAATCGGATTAAGAAGTTCACCAATGTCTGTCGGTGCCAAAGAATGATAAAGTTTGGAAAAGACTACAGCTTAGTATCAAAGTAATTTGCTCCATAATAATATCGAGCTATTCACTGCTGAGTTAGTGTGAAACGTGTTCCCGAATTCATCTTAGAGACCATTGTTGTCCTGACATTTATCTACAAGAACGTTATTTTGTATTCTGTCAGCTACACTGAATATACCAAGAGGAAGACTGATATCACAAAATGAAACATCCTACTACTTTGAGAATAAGTAAATTAAAAAATGATTTGGATACACCTCCTACATTGCTAGATTTAGTACCGTTTAAACAACAATACATCATCAAATTTCATGGAAGATTGACCACGAATAAACGGTAGAAGATTCCAGCAACTACAACCAACTAAATACGTATTCTCATTCGGTATATTTCTTTTAAATGCCTGTCGGTGCGAAAGAAGGAAGGATTTTGGAAAAGATTACATCTAAGTATCAAAGTAATTTGCTCCATAATTCGCTGTCTTGCACACAGAATTGGTGTGAAACGTGTTCCCGGATTCAGCTAAGATGCCTGTTTTGTCCTGAAATGTATCTCCAAGAATGTTATACGTGATTCTGTCCGCCGACTCAAAACCACCGATGCAACACCACTGATGCAACTCCAGGACAACTCACCACCAACTTACATAGCGCGATGACAACTCAACGCTGGTATCGAATTCCTACCTTCAGACCGATGTTGGCTGACTAGTTTGTACATATCTTAGATCGGCTTTGGGTTGCAGATATTTTAAAAGTTTGGCTGTTTGTCTTAGTGATTTATTAGTTATAACAGCCTATTTGTCTGACCCGTGTTTAATATTCAGGGTCAAATAAAATAATCATGTTGAAGCAAATAAAAGCCTGCACACAGGGATTGGAATCGAGCACTACACGATATGACAATTACTTACTGGGCTGAAAAAGCTGCAAAGAAACCGAGATGCATTTTTTGAGCAATTAATTGGAAGTCATCCCACTCCCCCAAATTTGGAGAATTTTTTTTTTTTTTTAAGCATTACGCTCCGGGCAAGGATTCAGGGGTTGCAGAAGATTTGGAACAAGAGCAGATAGGAGTGATAGAAGAAAGGATGAGAAGATGGATAGTGGATAGATCAAAGTAACTGGAGATGAAGGCAGTTGAACCAATTTTGCAGATTGGTCCTTCTTTTTCACAGTGATCTACAGCTGATAATTTGAGGGGATTGCTTACAATTGTCAATAAATTATTTAACTTAAAAATAAAGCCATTTATTTAAAATGATCTTTAACAAATTATTTTTATTTGGATTTAAATAGTCGACAAAAAATTTTCATAGTTTGCATGTCGTTGAGTTGTCTTCGCGCTGAGCAGGCTGGTGGTGAGTCGTCCTGGAGGTAAGTAGCAACGGAGATGAGTAGGCAGGTGTTTAGTCGGCGTTGAGGGGTCATCCTGCACCCGATTCTATTGCCTACACTAAATATACAAAGAGGCTGACTGATATAACAAAATGAAGCCTTCTACAAAGATGACTACGGCCATAAATGCAGTACATACAGATATGTGCTGGTTGTAATAACATTTATCCACGCTAATGTTCAAATTACAACGAAAATCCAGTGTGAAATAATTCCGGTGTATGGCGAACGTTTAATATACAGAAAGTAGAAATGTGTTTGCTGTAGTACGTTCAGAGATGAGCATAATAATCTGTATGACGAGACTCGTGTATGCTACCCACTTTCACCTACAGTAGAAAACAACATTGCTCACTGTGATATTTTGAATGAAGATGAATATCAGCGCAAAAGTTGCTGATATAGATGTGGTCCTTGAACCTATATATTCTGCGATCCGTGAAATCTTGCATGAGAATTTTGATACACATGACAAGTCCATCCGCAATACGCGACCAAGCTGAGAAAAGCACGGTTCCAATGACAGGGTTTGGATGTTTAACTACATGCATTTCATAGTGTTGAGTGATCAGTTTGTTGGGTATTTCTAGCAGCATTTACCCGTAACATTGTTCCACGGAGATATCGATATTTTTTACACAATTAAAGGCCCAAGTGTCACTGAAGACGAATGCTTACTGCGTGATATTACGCGAGCGTAATTGAAGGCAAAAAAGTACACTTATGTAGAAAAGGTTAACCATAGACTTGAAGAGGTCAAGAGGATAACGACAGAGAAAACGTACTTCCAGGACCCTGTACAATAAAGTGGTAATTCTTGGGAAGAGACTCTCAGAGTGGAACTTTCTAACTAGTAATGAAATACCAAGGAATTTAGTATGATTTTTCCTTGTGTATGTCGTATAGCGGGTACCAGTCGCAAAGTTCGTATATGGTGGAACCAAGGAATGCAACTTCTCAGAAAATTTGCCATTTAAATCGCGATAAAGTAGCGAGAGGCTTTCGTCGGTTAGCCTGTGGCAATGTGGTTTTAGGATGGGGTATAATTCATTACCCTCAAGGCGGCATAGACGCTTCTGAACTCTATGAAACAGGCAAATAAGGACCAGGCTGCTTCAGCACAAATATGGCTTTAATTTTAACTTTAATACTTAAGTTACAAATGAACTGACTATTTTCCCAGCATCTTTATCTATAAAAAATATATATGATTTCATCATGAGTTTTGGGGGTGAAATGATAGACATTCAATGCTTTTATAAAACACCTAACCATCTTGATGGTTAAAATTTCAGAGTCTGCTCGATGATGTTAGACTGTTATATGATGTCGGCTCCTATGCCATGGTATCTCGTTCTTGGAAGAATTCTTTTTTGTGCTCTTATTGAAATGGCGAAAGTGCACCAAACGCAATGGGGACTATGTGGAAAAGTAACAGAAGAGCACTGGTAACATATTCACAAAGTATAATAATCTCTTTCAATCTGTTTTCTATCTATCTATCTATCTATCTATCTATCTATCTATCTATCTATCTATCTATCTATCACCACCTGTTCGTTATCCATCACGCTTCGTTTTTATATTATTCCATTCATATCTATCTATCTATCTATCTATCTATATATATATATATATATATATATATATATATATATATATATATATATATATATATCACCGCTTGTTCTTTATCCATGTCGCTACAATCTATCTTATTCCTTTTCTATCTATCTATCTATCTATCTATCTATCTATCTATCTATCACCACCTGTTCGTTATCCATCACGCTTCGTTTTTATATTATTCCATTCATATCTATCTATCTATCTATCTATCTATCTATATATATATATATATATATATATATATATATATAACCGCTTGTTCTTTATCCATGTCGCTACAATCTATCTTATTCCTTTTCTATCTATCTATCTATCTATCTATCTATCTGTTTATCCATCTATCTATCTGGTTCAATCTGTCATTTTCCATTTATCTATTTATCTGTTTCAATATATCCTTTTCCATCCATCTATCTATCTATCTATCTATCTATCTGTTTAAATATATGTTTCAATCTATCAGATTTTGCTTAAACGAATACTTCTTACCATTTCTTGCTATTTATGTCATCTATAGTTTTAACAATTTCTTATTTTGATTCCTGTGTAGTCTATGAGTTGTCCAATTAAGGTGCATTACGATTACTGCATAATTTGAATACCATAGTATTAGCTCATGCAAAACCTCCAGCAATGGCTACTAGATAACCTTTCAAGGATTGTGTTCATATTTTTTATAGCTTTCCATATAATACTTCATGGTGTATATACTATTACCATGTAAAATTTACCCCTATTTATCGCTATTAATTTTTTCTCTGATTGTTTCTACTGATGACCAAAACATCGCACTTCCGGCCTTCCTTATTTATTTTTGACTTCCAGATGTCGTACATTATTTATATCGCAGTCCATACCATTGTAATTCTAGAATCTCTGTCATTTTGTCAGGAGTTGAAACATGGTTACAAATATAGAAAATTATTGCCCAATTTATATATATAATATATTCTACTTCTGCAATCATTTTTGGCGATGCCCATGATTGAGTAACTGAGCTGCATTTTTAAACGGCGCGGATTACGTTTCCCTGCTTTCATATTCGAGAGATTATATAAACATTATGTGCTTTCCGTCGGCGTTCGAAAATTCGTCCCCAGTTTAAGGAGAAAATACCGACTGATCTCGCTCGGCCACAGAAAGAAATACTGACCAGGTATATATAAGTAGAAGTGTGTTTGTATGCGTTTGTGGTATTATATTGGAATAGATATTGCGCTCACGTTTCACACCAGACCGTGTAACTTTCGGCCCCCAAATGCAAAAGAACGTAACCTAACACCCGAAGAATGTTTGGTATAAGGATGTATAAAGGAGCGCCAATGTAATGATTAAGCAGTCACATTCACTCGCAGCAAAGAGAGAATATGGGGACCCTCTGCGGGGCTAGTATTGTAGACTAACCGATATTAATTAAAGAATTAGAATGAATAAAATCATCAGTGATGAAAATGCCTCTATCATGTTCTAATTTAGTTACCTCTTCAAGTGTATTTTTATGTCACTGAGTTGGGCCGGTATATTCTTTTCCAGATTTGCCCAATTGAAGGCTCAGGAGTCACTCAAGGTAAGGGTTCACTGAGTGTTCTATACATATAAGAAGAAGAAGTAAGTAGGGCATTTTATATGTAAGAAAAATAAAGGTTAACTTTAGAATTGAAGAGGTTAAATTGAGGTTATTTAGGAAGTATCCGCTTGGGAGTGGTCCGAAAAAAAAAGCGGTTGTTTTGGGAAGTAGCTCTCTGAATGCTAATAGCTTTTTACTATAGAAATACGAGTCGAATGCGGTTGATTCGTCCCAGTATCCATGACATGACAGTTCATACTAATGTTAAAATTGGTGTGAACGAGGGAATGTTGCTCGTCAGAAAATTTGCCATAGAAATAATGATAGAGAAGAAAAGGCACGCGAGACTTCCTTAAGAGTCTGTCTATATTTCTGAGATGAGGTATTATGTACATTATATACATTATTCGGACTAATGTCCTCATCTTTGTCGCCATATTTATTACAACGTTTCGGCCGTTCAGTATCTGTCTATATTTCTGAGATGAGGTATTATGTACATTATTTACATTATTCGGAATATTGTCCTCATTTTTGTCGCCATATTTATTACAACGTTTCGGCCTTTCAGTATCTGTCTATATTTCTGAGATGAGGTATTATGTACATTATTTACATTATTCGGACTATTGTCCTCATCTTTGTCGCCGTATTTATTACAAGGTCTCGGTAGTTGTACGCTCCGATCTTCTTCAGGTGGTTGGAATTTCGAACTGAACCCTTTATTTCGCTCACTGGGGTAGACTGTTCTAGTTCCACGTGCCATGTTTTTGATGGATTTCAGTTATCAGTTGTCTCTTGCTAATTTCCCTCTGAAAGTTCTCCATTGCCTTAACCGGGTATTGAACTCACACTCTTTGTGTCCTGACACTGGATCTAACCAACGCCTTTATCTACTGTGCCATGTGTCCTTAAGGAGATGGCACCTGAAGAAGGCCGGAGCGTACAACGGCCGAAACGTTGTGATAAATATGGCGACAAAGATGAGGACATTAGACCGAATAATGTAAATAATGAGACCTTCTTTGTAGGAAATGGGTTTTAAAATATTTACTCACAGACAAACCCAACTAAAAGCTTTTTTCATTCTATAAAGACATGAATGTGGGGACTGTGCAGCTCCAGACCATATATATAACGTAGGTCACTAGTTAAAAATAAATTATGCTATAGAGTTTTAAATGTAACTGGGATTATGTATCAATATTATTAAAAATAATAAACCCGCTTTTTAGCAAATGATGTCTCAACTGCAGATAATATGATATAATATCCATTCAATGACATACCCCTTTGCGTTAACCGAGAAAGGTTATCAGGTACTGCAATGATGGATGTGTGGTTGAATAATGGATAACGATTCAGAATTAGAAATTGGCCATCAATCTTCCAATTCCACTCGGCTAAGTTATATTCACTTACACGTAAATATCTTTGGGAAAAGTATCACTTATCCATTCTCCTTCAGCTACAGATTAATTAGTACAACTTTATCAGAAAATCATTATTATCTCCAAAATTATTTGCATTCTAAAAATATTTCTTGGCTTTAGATAACCTGCAAAAGATTGCTAAACCGTAAAATACAAACCAATTAATTAATCACCGAGAAAATATTGTGTTTGTATGCATTTTGGAAAAGCACTATTTCATACTTACCTAATGCCTGCAGGAACGATCGGTACAATATTTGTTTCTTTTGTACAAACCCCTATCCAGCAAAGAAAGGATGAATAATATTTGTGATCATATATAAAGAGTGTATTAATAATTACGATACTGTGATATGAGTTCGATTATTTAGTAATATTCAGTCTATAGATCATAAAAGATCTAATGTTCGCAGGCCATCAAAATCCATTTCATTCATTAATGAGGGAAACAATTTCACTTCAATTCAATAAAGAGCAAAACAAACAATTTTTGAAACGTTAATTTGAGATTGTTAGACACGTTTTCGCTGAGATATAATTGTTATTTTGTTAATATTTTTCGGATAACAAGATAGAGAAAGTCAATGCTATACTGGCTCAGTTCCAATCAATCTGGAACTAACTTAATACAGAACGATTTCAAAATATTTTTATCGAATTAGTTTGGGCGCTATATATTTATAAGTAGCGAATTCTAATAAAAAAAATGCTTTTTTTTGTTGTTCTGAACATTTTTGTATGGTGTTGTTTATGGTCGACGTTAATTTGCTATTAACTGACTCAACGGAAATTTCGCGCAAAGAATATATTCCTTGTTTTTCGAGCTTTGCCATATTTTGAAGAATCCTAGCACAAGGAACAAGCAATGACTCAATCAACCAGAACACATAATTAAGGGCAGATAATATATATATATATATATATATATATATATATATATATATATATATATATATATATATATATATAAGCGTATAGGATTGGTGTATACGGAATAAATTCCAATAACCAATAATTACTATTCTTAAAAGAATGCTCCATACAGTGTAGAGAGAATATAATTATTTATTCGAAAATCATCACATAAATATGTTATAAAATCACTACAAAAATAGCCATTTTGTTTCAACAACTCTGGTGTCTTATCAAGTGATGATTTTTAATATAGAATCTAGATTCTATATTCAAAATCATCACTTGTTAAGACACCAGAGGTGTTGAAACAAAATGGCTATTTTTGTAGTGATTTTATAACATATTTATGTTATGATTTTCGAATAAATAATTATATATATATATAGATATATATATATATATATATGTGTGTGTGTGTGTGTGTGTGTGTGTATGTATGTATGCATGTCTGTGTGTTTGTATGTGTGAATGAGTGCATATATTAGAAATATATTTCCGAAAATTTAATTTTAATCTTTCAAATTCGTTTCGAGACAATTATTAGCGTTGTTACTTTTGCAGTTAGATATTGTATATGAAGTATTTATGTTAACGAACTGATTTATCAAATCCTGGCAAGAAGTTTTTTTTTTAAGCATTTCACACCAAGCAAGGCGGAAAGCCACTAGGATGTAAGGGGTTACAGAAAATTTGGAGCAAGGTCAGATACGAGTGATAGAAGAAAGGATGAGGAGAAGAGTAGTGGATAGATCAACGCAACTGGAGATACAGAGGCCAGTGAGAGAGGGAGAGAGAGAGCGAGAGAGAGAGACAGAGTACCGGAAACCCCTTCCTAAACAAGAAACAAGGCGTAAGCCTCTATTCATGTCCAAGAGAAGGGGGAGGAGTGTGGACCGGGCGGTAGGAAAGCCTACCTACTCCTATTACATATAACTCCTACTACATATAACTCCTACTCCTATTACATACAACTCCTACTCCTATTACATACAACAACAAAAACAGAGGTAACAATGAGAGGGGGGGGAGGTAATTTGCAAAGAGTCCTGGCTGACACTTGCATTTACCCTTTCGCAACATTAAGTTTTAACTTAGTATAAGTCCCATTGTCTATTCTAAAAAGAAATTGAAGAAAATAAGGTTATCCGGATTTATTGCCATGTCATAATAAATACCCCAACATACGTGGCAGTGAGTGTTAGTCCGCTTTCTTCCTCATGATAACAATTGAATGTACAGCTTACCTTAAGTCCAAGCATCGACCTGGTTGGGGGGGGGGAATCAATGGCCAATCCACCGCCCTCACCAATTAGTGGGCTTGGGAGGCATGCTTTCAATAAAAATTAAGAACAACTGGAGAAAGAATTGAGGCGAAAACAATTCCAAGTTCAGAAATTTTATCAAGCAAGAATAGTCGGCCACTAAATCATGAGAATACTGACGAGACACTTTCGCATCAAGCCAAAGACATTCAATTTTCCTCCTTTTCTGATTTTTCTTTCGAAACGGAAACATTAGATAGGTTAA